ACCTAAGATGGACACACCACCTGAGCCTCTCTTCAAAAAGATTGTTTACTCAGTTTTGACGCATTCCCTGATTCCCTCTTGTGTTCCCACATCTTTGTGCACACGTGAGAACTGGCTATGGTTTTAGTAGTACTCACATCAGTGCTGTGTGTGCCCTGGCACCCTTCCTGCATTTTGACACTGGCATTCTACGTCGCAGGTAACTGGTATGAAAATTAAACTTGGAGTGTCCTACAGTGGGCTCTTCCTTCAGTGTTATTATTATTGGTCTGTTTCAGAACTATCTCATCTTTCTAGTGTATGAGAAACTGAGTACGTGTAATTTACTTACAGATTTGGAGGCAGGAAAATGAGAAAATCAAACTGGAATCAAGGATACTTCCACTGTAAATTTAACTATCCTCTGCCTTATTGTACAACTTCAAAAAACCTCATGTTTTAGATGTTTTACTCCAGCCTCTTTTCAATTCTGCACAAGAAGGGTGCAGTAAGGATTCTGAAGAGAGTGCAATTGTTATAAGAGACCATCTCTATCCCACTTTTCTTACTGCTACCCATTCTCCTGGTTTCTTTATACTCTGGATGTGTGCCTAGCTCCTGAATATCTGTGTCTTCTTTTTAATTCTCTGCTGCCTTTTTTTTTTTATATATATATATATAATGGAAATAAAATACTTGAAAGTAGATATTTTTTTTTTATTTTCTAAAATAAAAGTATGTCAAATTTTACCTGAAAATATGTGTGACATGGTTCAAAATCTTTCTTTGATTGATAATATATGTGGAAGTTCTTAATGTAGTCAGCATTTCACGTCACTTGGTTTTGAAAGCTTTTAGATACCAAATATGAAATGAGTGGAGAATTGGCTTGTTTTCCACTGAAAATTATAGCAAATGGATTTTTTTTTTTTTTTCATTTTTTACTTTCAAAGGTGAAAATACTTTCTAATGTGAAACTACACTATCATTACATCGGCAGGAGCTTTGCAAAAAAACAAGCTTATCTTGGCTATAACAGAGTAAAAGTCCATTTTATGTTTGCTGTGAAACAGTTTCTGTCTGAAGTAGGAGACATTTTACATGGTTGAGAGCCTGACCATCCTGTTCTTAATGCAGGCATTCTCTGAATTGTAAAGAAAAATAAAGTGTTATAATGGGCACATATTTCTTTTCTCTGAAATCAAGTCATTGTTAGAAAAACATAACGTTGAATCATATATTGCTAAATTTTTAGAAGCAATTACAGTGGCTTCAATTTCAGTTTGACAATAACAGATCTGTCAATTTCCTTCACTGTCTTTTTGTGTTTAGAATCTGGTCATGAATGTTTGTGCTTGTATTTGAAATTTTTTATTAACTAAATGTCAAAGGATGGATGTTTTTCATTTCAAGGTATATTCTTCTGAAAAAAAAAAAGGGAAAAAAAAAAGAGTCCTGTGTTTAAAGACAAATGGTTATTCAGGTTCCCAAAACAGTTTGTCTTAAAACATTTGTATGTACATATTTTTTTTTCTTATTTAAAGATAGAGGCTATTTTTCTGTTTGTAGATCAAACGCTGGATGGACTGACTGCTAAGAGGGCTCCATCAGAAAGGTTTTGTTCTTGAGTTACTTTCAGAGGAAAGCTGTCTGTCAAATAAAATACATTAAAATATGCAGAATGACTTCTTGCCTTATTCAAAATAACTAGGCTATGGTACTGGCAGAGAGTGGAGAAGGAAGGTGGAGCAAAACAGGAGGGGAAGCCAGCAGTGCTGGCAAGTTCAAGGCAGGTGGTTTGATTGCCTTCTGATGCTCTTGTATGACCGAAGTCAGTGTGGGCTCTTTGCCAGTTCCTTGGGTGAGAACATGTCCCATTGCACTGCCTTACCTATGGACGCTGCTAAGTGGAAGCCCTGCAGCTGAGGACTGATCTAGATCAAAGTCATCACCCCACAGGAAGTCTAGTGGGATGTATAATCCTGGAGGGGGATCCTTAGAGCAAAATCTCCAAAACCTACTCACAGCAGCGCATGATAGCACTAGATAAGTGATTAAGAGCAATCTGAAAATGCCTGTTTGTTGGTACAATAAAGTTCTCATCCTTCATGAAGGGACATGACTTGTATATTGTCTTGTGAAGGAAATATAACTAACTAGAGACCGAGTATTGCCATGGGAGTCTGTAGTAATACTTCTGCTGACTTGACAGGCCAAAAACTAAACTCAGCACAGCTATTGTATTTTTTTTTTTTAATAAAATGCTGTATTTACTATAAAGACACACTGATTTTAAAACACCATTAAAAATGTACCTTAAAATACTCAATAAGTGCTTTTGAATACTTGACAGCATGGTCTCTCTTGAGTCGGAACATCCTCCAGTACAGAAGGGCCAGGCAGCGGTAACTAGGAGAAAAGGGAGAGCAGAAGGTAAGGTGTGCCCCCAAAGAGGAATCCTGATGAATTGTCTTAAATTCCCAAACTAACAGGCAATGGAAGGCTGGCGGCACTCTGCTTAGTGTTGTTATCAGCATGCTGCTACCAGGGTGCTATGAAACCCACTGTGCTCAGCCGGCCTTGCACAGTTGGCTTCCCAGGCCTTGACCCTGACTTGGAGCCCACACGCTTGGCCAAAGGCCTCGCCTGTCAAAAAGTCATTGCAAGCCTGGAACCCAACACATATATCTTATTTATTTTTTATTTCCTTCCTTGTTGCAAACGCAAAGGCACATTTTGGGGTGTCTTACCCTGGGACAACAACAAAATAGCCTGGCACCTACATAAGGAACTGGAGTCGCTCCTGGTCCACTTTGTGTGCCCCCAGTCACCTCTTCCAGCAGATGGAGCCAGCTGGGAAACAGGCAATGCCTTGGACCTGTCTGGAGTTTTTGGGGTAATCTCCAATGTGGGAGGCCAGGATGGAGGCTGTGGAGGGGGCTTGAGGCCATTCCTACACCTCCTGCCTGGTTTGCTCCCTGGATGGTGTCAGCAGCAGGCTGAGAACCTCAGCGTGCCCCATGCTCCTTGGTAGCCTGCAGCTGCCTTTAATGCTATGTAATTAAACAGGAGCAACAGCTATTAATTCTACATAAGGATAACTGATAATCAGTGCTTAATTTTACATAATGATAACTGATAATCAGCGTTCAGGATGCACAAACTCATGTCTTCAGTGCTGGATTTAGGCGTGCCTGTCTATTTTCTGAAACAAGAATCACCACCACCTCTTCACAGTCAGATTTTTTGAGTGGGACGTGTGGGATTGCACCACAGCAGCACGGCTTTTGAAACAAAAAGGCGATGTGTTGCACTTCTGTGGCTGCAGAAGTCCTGTTTGTAAAAGCGATACTGGGTCTCCGAATCGCTGGGTGCGCTTCAGGCGGGCAGCCCGGGGCTGTGCCCTGCTGCCCACCTTCAGGAGCTGCCCAGACCTCACCAAAGCACCCCCAGGGCAAGCGGCTCTCCAAAAAACCCCAGCCGGGCTCTCTCGGCCGCCGGCAGCCGGTGACTTGCAGCCGCTCGCCGCTGGAGGACAGCCTCTGCTCAGCAGACGGAGGGCGCCTGGCAGCGGCCTCCCCGTCCTCCCAGCTGCCTCGGTCACCTTCACAGGTGCGGGCACATGCTGGCTGCTTGCTTTTTTCTTTTTTCTTTTCTTTTCTTTTCTTTTCTTTTCTTTTCTTTTCTTTTCTTTTCTTTTCTTTTCTTTCTTCTTTTCTTTTCTTTTCTTTTCTTTTCTTTCCTTTCCTTTCCTTTCCTTTTCCTTTCCTTTCCTCCTTTCCTTTCCTTTCCTTTCTTTCTTCCTTCCTTTCCTTTCCTTCCTTTCCTTCCTTTCCTTTCCTTTCCTTTCCTTTCCTTTCTTTCTCTCTTTCTTTCTTTCTCTTTCTTCTTTCTTTCTTTCTTTCTTTCTTTCTTTCTTTCTTTCTTTCTTTCTTTCTTTCTTTCTTTCTTTCTTCTTCTTTCTTTCTTTTCTTTCTTTCTTCTTTCTTTCTTTCTTTCTTTCTTTCTTTCTTCTTTCTTTCTTTCTTTCTTTCTTCTTTCTTTTCTCTTTCTCTCTTCTCTTCCTTCCTTCCTTCCTTCTTCCTTCCTTCCTTCCTTCCTTCCTTCCTTCCTTCCTTCCTTCCTTCCTTCTTCCTTCCTTCCTTCCTTCCTTCCTTCCTTCCTTCCTTCCTTCCTTCCTTCCTTCCCTTCTCTCCCCACCTAAGTGTTTTTTAAAGCAATTCCCATTCGTATATTCCGTGCTCCTCCTAATCACACAGCAGACCCAGGGCATTTAAAAGAAATGAAACACCTTGATTATTTTGTTCTTTTTTTATGCAACCGATTAATTAGGACTCTTATTTGTGGAGGCTAAAGAATGCATTTAATTGGATTTTTTAACAGATGGTTAATAGATGTTAAAAACACACTTGCTGATTGTAAATGTCCACTTACTGAGAATCAGTAACCATGTAATAGGTATTTTATGTATTAACTACATAGATATTAAATTAAAATTTGATTTTAATAACATTTTAGCATTTTACTAGCAATCAGCAACCACCCTATAGAATTTAAGGTGCCTGCGTATATCCAGAACTCTCAATTTAGAAGGTAATCCAGGAGGTTTAATTATCACCATCACCGTATCTCTCTTCAGGAAATGTAAATATAATTTACGATTATTGAGCCTAAAATGTCAGCCACAAAAAAATTACCAAACTATCAGTACAAAAGTACATCACTCATAAAAACAACAAACCATCAGGCATTTAAAAATTAATTATGCTGGCGCACCATAGCTGACCTGTCACAGTCAATAAGTACGAATTGCTTATTTACAGAGACAGAATGCAGACCTGCTACAGGGATACAAGGGCTGGACCTTCCCGGAGCAGAAAGTACTCCCTTTATTTCAATAGACAACATAATCCTATCTGGCTGCGTCCAGCATCTGATTTTCAAGAACTGGCTCGCTGCTGAGGAGCCTTTTGAGGAAATTTTGATCTACTAACCATAATGCTGCCAGCTGTTTGTCTTCTGGCGTGGCGTTGGGGCCTGAGTGGGTTTTTAGTCTCACCGCATACCTTGAGCAAAAGGAAAGAAGCCAACGTGAGTTAACTGAGACAGCTTTATGTTACCGATCAGCTCCTGAGAGAGCTGTGCTGACCGATGTCATTCGAGCTGCCCCCTTACAAGTATTTGCTGAAGTTACATATCCTTTAGCACATATCCTTTTCTGGTTGTGTTTTGGAGCTGTTTGCCATGAACAGTGCCTCCCTGCACCCCTTATACAGCAGCAACTCCCCTGACCTGATCTGTCAGTACAGCCCAGAGGGCAAGGTGTTGCTTCCTGGCTCGTTGTGCTGTCCTGCCACAATAACCTCAACTGCCGTGGAGCCCGGTTACACAGAGTTCATGCAGGAAGGTTTTCACAGTGTTCGAAGGCAGACGACAGCCTGCCTTGAAGCTGGTGCTGCCCTCACCCTGCCAATTCTGAACGTGTCTACCCAGATTTGCACCTCCAAGCAGAGCACAGCAGAGGGGGAACATGTGGCTCGGAGCTATTTTTGCTCGTATGACATTACATTCAAATTCTATAAATATTAAACATCCACAGAGGTAGCACTGCTGTTTCAAGAGTGTATGTGCTATGCAATCATAAATTAGTTTCTGGAAATCTTGGCTTCCAGCTGTATACCTGAACAATAGGCAAGGTTAGGACAACACACAGCGCTTCTGGGCTTGCTTCCAGAAAAATACCTGTTCCCTATAATTAGCTGCTTGTGGTTTTTCTTATCTTTGTTTTCAAACTTTAATCCTGATACCCGTGCAAAGATTCAGTGTGAACATTTTGTTTTAACAGGCATACCTGGTAAACCTAGTATATTTTTCTGAGCTGCACAGCAAGTGAGATCAAAAGCAATTCACACTACAACACAACCACAGCTACACACATTATTGAAAGCTATGGATCTGCAAGCAAAATTCATTTCCAGAGTTAGGACCATATATTTGCTATCATGAGAAAAGACAGGGCAGACAAAGAAAGAGCTCTCTGCCTGTGATGGCGCAAGTATTGAAAAAAAGAAGGGAAGAAATGCAGAGATGCACTGTACTATTCTCCTACTGAAAAAAAATAAATAAAATTTTATTTTGTTTAATAACCTTCCAGTTAGAAAGCTGGCCTCAATCCACTGAAATGCATGAGAAGACAGCCCTAAGTGGAATAAAATGCCAATGGAATTGTTAACATATGTGAGAAAATCATCGCATCAACACTAAATCCAAAAGAATGCAATTGTTTTAGGAGCTTTGCTTCATTATGAATATGATTAAGAAATAAACTGTTTTAATTTCTATGGACTTAGCACTGATGAGACCTGCATGGTTGACTGTCCTGAGCAATTATGCCATGGTCACTGACAATACAGCTTTTTCTGCTAGTGTGGCTGGACTCTCTCGTGGACTCTCTCTCCCAGTCTCATCTCAGGTGCTGGGATGATTTTGACCTTTTTTTCCCCTACAAGAGCTGCCAGTAATATTAACTACTGGTACCAACTGTAACAGAGGAAAGAACTTACGAGACAGAAACTTTCCTCATAGGGACAGAAACTTTCCTCATAGCGACTGCAGGTTGGAGTCTAGACTGTCCTATTTGGAGAGCCATGCAGCTGACCAAAGTGGAGGTCTACTTGAATAAGAGCTGGACAGCTGTCAGGACTCCACTGGCTACAGTGGGAGCACACTCAACAGATGGACCTCAAATGTCCATTTTTCTACCACTGTTCACTTCTTCATTCAGGTAACCATTACACTGCAGTCTTAAACATGTTTCAACATCTTGCAAATTACTACTCCATGAGTGTTTTAGTATTATGCAGCAGTTTTTTTCCACTTTTGAGGAGCACAGCACTTATATCTTGAAACTCTTGAACTAATTTGCAATTCAAGTAATATGAAAAGCTTTGTTTATTTTGCATTCTATGCGGTTTCCTAATTAATTTCCACTAAAATCATAGAAAATCCATACATGTTACATATGACTGACCAGGCACTTGGGAGGCCCTCAATTCTCCCCTTTTACTGTTATCCAGGGAATTATGTGGTGATGTAGGTGAGCATGTTTGCACGAACAGAGTAACCCCTGCAGTCATCTCCTCCCTTCCTACCTGATGAGTTCAACTGTTTCTGAATACATTGTATAGGGGGATTTAGATTCCATTGGGCCTTGTTCCATTGCATTTCCACACTCAATAAACGATAGTGCTGCTTCTGCATAATTCAGTGCCTTTCCAAACTTTTCCACCTAGAGGGAAAAAATAAGGACACAGAGAAATAGTGTAATCATCAAGATATGGTTACATTTGATGGGATTGTCTCAACATGGGATTTTCTCAACATGAATTATAAACTTGACACAAGAGAGCATATCTTCAGATTCATAAGTTTTTCTATGAGAAAGCTAAAGCCCATCAAAATCTGTGCATCACTGAAAATTGTAAGATACAGAAAGCAGAGCTGAAAAAGGCTATGAGACGTTATTTGGTCCACACTCTTCTGTCCAAAGAAGGATCCACTCTGCCTAAGGCATTCCTGGCAGATGTTTGTCAAAGATCTTCCAGTGCTGGGAATTCCGTGAACTGATCACCAGGCCTTTTGCCCCAGCTTTTCAAGCATCATTACCAGTAAAAACAGTTTCACACCTCTTTGCAAATGCAGTCTTTCATCAGTCAACAAAGAAAGGTAATGAATATCTTCAACTAAGAGAATCAGATTTAAACAGTTTGACTACTAACATTCTGTTATTCAAAGGCTCATCTCTGTCCTCATTTCTTCTTTATCCCTACCATTTTCAGCACTGCTTGACCTCTTGTTGGGATTTTGCTTTCTGTATCCTCCTTTTCTTTCAAGGACTGCTCTGCTCCCTTAGCTTCTCCTGACATTCTTCTTTCTTGCCCCATTTCTATTGTCCATACTTTGTGTATTTGTGTGCTTAAACAGATATATATACATGTATGACCTCCATGATAGTGTATATGCATATGTGCACATAACGTTCAGATGTGTACACTTACATACCACCTATCTGCTCTCAGAATTTCCTTTTTGATGTGGATAGAGATGAATCATACTATTACCTCTTTGTCCTGACTTGTCTTTCCTTCAGTCAGAACTCCTGCGGTACATAAAGCCCATTAATGGACTGGATGCATTTGGTTGAAATCTGATGCACACAGTGAAAGGTTAATGGACCTTATTCTTTTCTAAAGGATAAAGATTTTAAATAGTAAGTTTGGAATGGCACACTGGCTTCAATCTATTTTAGGTTCTTATATGACTCCCATTGCGATCATACCGGAGAACTTCACAAACTTTTTATTATATTTCTCTCCCTGACGTTCTTGTGCGGGTGGAAGTGCTATTATCCCAATTTCACAGATGGGGGACTAAGGATCAGAGAGACTTAGAGTCATTTTCAGGCTGCTCACTCTAAGTGCCTATATTAGGTATTGCAGAGCCAAAAGAGGAGGTATTGAGCCCAGCAAGGTGATTCAAAGTGCTGCCATTTTCTTCCAGGATCCCTACACAGTTAAGAAGGCAGAAGTACCTGCAAAGAGCGATTCAGAGGGTGTAAGTAAGATGCTGGTCTGCTGTGAAGGAAGGCTGAATGTGAAGGATATTTCAATCACCTGACTCTGATGGGAGGCTGTTTAAACTGTGCCTAAGTGACTTTCATGCAGCAAATTTGTGGCAGAGCAGAGAATAATGCTTGTACCTCCTATTTCTGGGAATCTACCATAAAAACATTTCTCTTCAGGCTAAGACAGAATTTACTTTGCATATTAAGTGATTTTTTTTTCTGTTCTGTTTAAAGCAACACACTAAAATGTACCATTTGTACTTCTCCACAATATTTTCTGATTTAAGACTCACTTTAAAGTAATATGGAGCTGAATAAACCATGGAAATTTGTGCTAATAAACTCAGGTAAAGTGTAAAACTCAGTGGTAGTGTCCTAAATTAAGGGCCCACTTCTGCTTCCTTTGCCATTTTATACTCTGCACAACTGAGAAAAGGAGGTGAAGAAACAGGGTGTGAGCTACCTTTCTTCTTTCCTGCTCCTGTGACCATAAAGTGCAAACAGAGCAAGGCAGGACTGCAGCTACCCCTACCTGCAAAATAGCCCTACTCATGCAGGGTTCCACCCCATATATTGCATCTGTCTGTCATGCCAGAAGCCTGGCATTTTTAATGCCGTGCTAGCTTATTCCTAGTGGTAGACAAACACAGCATTAGAGAAAGCTAAGAGAAAGGTAAGCAGAGGTCTCCTGGAGCACCAAGTACTTCATTGAATGCTTTTGTTTGGAAAGAAGAGGATCACTTTAGCGCTCCATATAGCCCCAGCTTCCTCTTTTTCAAGAGGGTCTTTCTGACTATGGTTTTAAGTCAAAGCTAGGATCAAGAACCTGTTTGTTGCAGCACTCCTGTGTATGAAACGTTTCTCTAGGGTTAAACAGATGTCTTGTGTGATTCTGATTGTGTTAGGAAGGGTCTGTCATGAAACTAGGATTCTTTTGGCACTGGAGAGACAAAGAATTTTCAAAAAAGGGCAAATTCCTCGGGCGCCAGACCAAATTTGGGATGAAATTATAGAGCCTAATCAGCTCATTAAACTGAGAAGATAGGTATGTGGATACCTTATACAGTCTCTATTACCATAGTTACTAATTAAAGCAAAGGAATAAATGGAAAGTTTTATTTATCCAGGCCTTTATCTCAGTAAGTCATTATTTGTTAAGTCATAGTTTATTGGGCTATGAACATTTGATTATATAAACATTTCTTAATTTAACAAGCCTAGCCATCCTTATAATAGATTTTATAATTACCCCAGCAATACTGCACTGATGAAGAAACTGCATTACACAAATAATTTGGAACAACATAACTGGAAAGAAAATGTTCTCACCATTGCATCTGCTTTATGCTTCTTCCGTTTAGCTTCCTGCATAAAGTAATCTGCATTGCGTGGCCTACCAGGGGAAAATAAGAAGACACTTTATTATTTTCTGAAGTGCAGAATATTTTCAAGTTATTTTTCCCTTATTTTAAACCTGATTGCAAACACTTTTTATGAATAAAATACACTTATCATGTAACCGTGCATCTTATATTTTCAAATTGCTGCCTGTGGAGACAATAGCATTTATGGCTGTTCTCATTCTTTAGAAGTCAGTGATTCAAAGCAAAAAAAGCTAATAAAATGCATTTTTATGGATTATATAAACTGCTTCCCAAATTAGTGCAGTTTTGATCTGCCAAATGGATGCAAGCATTAAGCGGAACGAGTTATTCCATCTTCTTCTCTCCCTTGTGTTTGCTTACCTCTTTTTCTACTCCTCTCTGTACACTGTCATTTGCCTTGGCTTCTCCCTCCTCACAAAACAAGTGTGTGTTTAATGTCTCCACTCTGAAAATACACGCTAAGTCTGCTTGCCTCTACTGCTACCATCTCTTCCCCCTTCTCCCTCTTATCTGTAAGCATGCTGAGAGTGCTGTTTACTCGGTGCTAGGCTGCCTGCTGCATGCCACCGGTGTTGCTCATGCCAAATTCTGTGAAATTCTCCATTGATTTCTCCTGGAATAAATTGTGGAGTCTCCATCCCTTTCTTAGCCTACCTGACCTACTGACTGTAGGGGACAAATTCAACTGCTACCTCTGTGCTGAAATTCACAAGTACCTTTCTGATCCTGACTTATCCACTTCTGTTCAAGCTGAAAACACAAACTGATGTCTCCTTGACAATACCCCAGTGAGCTCCTCTTGGTTGAGGCAGGTTTCTTCACCTCCTCCCACAAGCTCTCTCTATTGTGCCTTCCTCAATCACTGTGAAGAGAGCCATTTGCCATGTCATTGCAGTACATAACCTAACACCTTAAGTTCAAGCCTCTCATAAAAGTTTTCACATTTCCTGACCTTGCAGATTCTTCCAGTCTCCTATGTGTGGGACATGGCCTTCCTTATAATACTCAGCCAAAACATGCTCTGGTTCTCAGCATATACTGTGGTTACTGCCATACCCTTAACAGAATCACGCAGACTCACAGAAGAGTTGAGATGGGAAGGGAGCTTTGGAGATCATCTGGTCCAACCCCCCTGCCAAGCAGGGTCACCTAGAGCACATTGTGCAGCATCACATCTAGGAGGGTTTTGAGTATCTCCAGAGAACGAGCTCCCACAGCCTCTCTGGGCAACCTGTGCCAGTACTCTGTCACCCACACAGTAAAGAAATGTTTCCTCATATTCAGCTGGAACTTTCTGTGTTACAATCTGTACCAGGTGCCTATTGTCCTGTCATTGGGCACCACTGGAAAGAGCCTGGCCCTATCATCTTGACACCATCCCTTCAGATATTTATAAACATTGATGTGATCCCCTCTCAAGCCCTCTCTTCTACAAGCTGAACAGTCCCAGCTCTCTCAGCCTCTCCTCCTATAACAGATGCTCCAGTCCCCCAGTCACCTTCACAGTCCTCCTCTGGACTCACCCCAGTAGCTCCATATCTCTGTTGTACTGGGGAACCCAGAGCTGGACACAGTGCTCCAGGTGTGGCCTCACCAGGGCTGAATAGAGGGACAGGACCACCTCCCTCGACCTGTTGGCAACACTCCTCCTAATGCACCCCAGGACACCATTGGCCTTCTCGGCCACAAGGGCTCATTTCTGGCTCATGGTTCACCTGCTGTCCACCAGGACCAGCAGGACAGCCCCCAGCCTGTACTGGTGCATGGGGTTATTCCTCCCTAGGTGCAGGACCTTGCATTTGCTGTTGTTGAACTTCATGAGGTTCCTCTCGGCCCAGCCCTCTGGTCTGTCCAGGCCCCCCTGAACAGCAGCACAGCCCTCTGGGGTATCAGCGAGTCCTCCCAGCATTGTACCACCAGCAAACTTGCTGAGTGTGTTCTGTCCCTTCATCCAGGTCACTGACGTGTAAATTGAACAAGACTGGGCCCAGTACTGACCCCCTGGGAGACACCGACAGCTACAGGCCTCCAGCTGGACTCCTGATCACTCCAACACTTCTGAGCACAACCCCCAAACTCCCCATCCAGCCAGTTCCCAATCCACCTCACTGGCCCCTCGTCTATCCCACACTTCCTGAGCTTGCCCATGAAGATGTTGTGGGAGACAGTACCTCCATGTGCTTGGTGGCAAACTCCTGGTCACTCTCAAAGGAGGAGGTTTATCCTTGCAAAATCATTTTCTTAGAAATACTTAGAGAGTTATCCCTTTGCCCTTCTAGTGAAAATGAGATACATTTCTGAGTATTCGCAGAACGAATAGTGATGTTCTTCTTGCTTTTCACGATTTTAAGAGCTTGGTTTCATCAAAAATACAGTATTATTGCCACTTAGCAATCCTAACTAGTTTTTTTTTTTTTTTTTTTAAATTGGGATTTCTCAGCATGTTTATTTAAAAACTTTTTTTTTCTTTGTGTGAGTCAGAGAAGATACAGATATAAAAATGGGATGTATGAATCAAAAATTCTTGCTGACAGCAGTAAGAGCACTTTTAGATCCATAACAGATTAGTGGGAACAAGGGGGAGCCTCTCAACAGAAGAGGACAGCCATGAATACTTCCTTGAGACAATAAGGGTATTTGCTAGTGTGTCTACTTAGTCTGTTTCCATCTACTTACATGCACACAGTTTCAAGGAGATTTAATTGCATCATAGAAGGTTAGTCATAACCCTATTTTGAAGAAAAGGAAGGCTAAATATCATTAGATAGAAATAAAATTTGAAGTCTGGATAATTTTGAATGACGTCTGCCCTAAGAAACTTGATACAAAGAAAAATATTTCCTTTTTTCCATCTTTCTTTAAAATGTTCTCCCTTAGAACAGAATTTCTCCCTAGCTTACTGTAGCTGGTAGGTCAGAAAGGGGACTAAAGACAGGTTTGTGTCCCAGTATCTCATAACCTACTACAGCTGCAAATACTTTCTGTACCCAGCAAGATGTTAACATTATCTTTATAATACAAACCATCTGGGTTTTATTTCGGTCAATTATGAAATAATAGACATTGCAACAGTGTTAGTCTGACGTGGAAAAATAGCTATGTTTTCAGAACCATTGAAAGAATTCGTAAAAATTGATATCCTGTCTCTCTAAGTCTTGTGAAATGACCCACGTAAGATAGTTTACCGTGAAGAGAGAGAAAACAAAGCAAAGCAGAGCAAATCAACAAAGTAGTGGTCTCAGCTCTCTGAAATAATCAAAGTGATGAACTTTTACATGATCCTTTCAAATTCAGGTCATTAAAATGTATCCTTTGCAATATACCCTCCCATATGACACTCAGCACTATATATATAATTTGCTTATTTGAAGCATGGGAAGAGGCTGTAAAAACAAAGCAAGATAACACAATGTAATTATGGTCTATTTATAAGTAAGTTAATTGCAAAATGGTTTTCAACTTGCAGCAGGATTTATTCTCCAGTACGCTTAGCAAGGAAGGCATTAGCAGTAGGCATGTACAGCATTGAGCCAAGAGGCCTTTGAGGGCCCTGCTATAGGACAGCTAGGCATAATACAATGTGCAAAAATTGAAGTCATCAGTTTGTACTAAGGCCAATTGTTTTGGGGGGAAGCCTAATGTAAAAAAGAAGCTATTAAAAGACCATTGTTAAGCAAAGCATATATATTCACAGTAGGAACATTTAGATATTTTCTCAGGAAAAATTCAAGACTGATTTACAAATCAGTGGATGACTAACAGAAATTAAGATTCATTAGGAAAAAAATGGGTTGGGTATATCTTCTAGTTGCTTTTACAGTGCTTGTTCAAAAGTGTTAATAAACATGCTAAGTCAAATTCTGATCTGTTTATGCTATCTGTGCAATTCTATTCTTCAATAGATCGCTACATGCTAATAAACCTGCAATTCAGATTACAAATGTACGTGTGAAAATGGAAAGCTGAAATATTCTATAAATTTAATACATGTTTATGTGCACTGCATAGAACTGCATTTCTTATATCATTTTTGAAACAAAATAAGGATGTGCTTGGATTTAATTTTTTTTTTTTTTTTTAAATGAGAAATAAAGGTCCCAAATTCAGTTTTGTTTAGGTTCCCACTGTTGTATATGAAAGTCATTTGTCTTTTTAAATACAGTATACTAGTTTAAATTATTATGTTATGAAGCAAAGAAACAAAATAAACCCCTCTCTTCTGTATGCTCCTTGAAGGCAGGAGGTTATCTCAGTTCATGGACATATGAAGACACCTGAAAAAGCTGATGCATAAATTAAGTTCTGAGGATTGCTCTTTTGCATACTGCTTATTTCGTTGCTTATATCTGTGAAGTTCACAAATACTCTATTAATCATAATCTGATTTTACAGACCCTTAAGTTACGGTGACTGAGAACCTGTACGTGTTACAAACATTAAGGTTCAACCAAATTTCCTCTGTAACTTGGCCCCTTTAGAGAAATTGGTGATAACCTCAGACTGAAGAATTTACAGGTAATCTCACTGCATGATAATTTCAGATACTATATGCTATTATCAAGAGGTGTCTTGAGGAGAAGTAAATCTGTTTCCTCACACAAGAGATTTGGAAAGATCTGAGGATAAACCCCTTTTCAGGTCTTTGGTCTAAGGCTTGCAATCCACCTGCAGATCACAGCCTCACTACAGCCTGAGAAGCCAGGGAGTAGAGAAACTGTCCACAGGGTTAAATTGGTACTAGCACTGGAGTCTCTTTGTTAGGGTAAAAAGCTTACTGGTCATAAATATAAACTGAAGTCTGACGGAAAGATATTCCCTGACTTCTGGTTTTCAGGCAGTTGAGTCTGATTCTCCTCTAAGTTATTTGCAACTGTCTGTATCTGTTGGTGTCAGCACTGTCACTCCAGATTTACAAACAGAATTCAGGCCTCTATTTAAAAAAAAATAAAAATTTAAAGAAGTCTGACTTCAAATTAGCAGGTAAAAACAAGTGTTTTATCTCTATTAA